TTTGTTCGTTTATTTAATAATATAGACATTTAAAAATTCAAATGTTTCAATTCAATCAAAACACGAAACGCCTGCGAACAGGCTATGATGTTTACAATATCCAATCAGAACACGTAGTCTATCGAACCTATAGTCAGCAGCCAATCAACTCTTTCCTTCCATTTTTGAAAGTTATGTGTGGAATGTGAACCCGAAATACTACGCCAATTTCACCAGAGGGTTATTCAAAACAGGCGAAAATAAATACCCTCTGACTCCAGGGTAAACTGTCCTTAACAAATGGAGCAAACCTGCCAGGTTTGGTTTTAATGGCTGGCCAAAAAATAGCGGACGGCCAACGAGAAACTATAAGGGTACATTTGGCCTTACAAACTGACATGTGTCTAGTGACGGGGATAGTTAAAGCCACTGGCGAACAAACCCAGTTCGTTTCGTTTGACCAATTTTGAGTAAATGCATCAGCCGCCTCTGTTTCAGGACACCAAAATCGTGAATTGAATCTTGGTAATTGTGTATTATAAAACTAGCGGCGAACCTATCAATAGTAAAAGGTCCCCATGCTCAATGAAGCATAACAAATAATTCGGGGTTTAACTTCCAATCGTCTAAATTAATTGTTTTGCTTAACACATCGGGAATCCGGTTTTCCGCTCGAGGAATCCATTGTGTTTCAATCATAATATCGTTAATGAAACAAATGTTGAAAATGTCTACTGCAATATTTTGGAGTTCTTAAATTCTACTCCCGACTTGAACGATGCGACAGGCGCTCTGGCTATCTGAAAATATTTTCAACTTTTTATGCTGTAAACGTTGCACAGAAGTTTTCAAAACTAGTAGGATAGCCAACAACTTCAGGAACGTGGAACTCTTACCACTTTGCTCAGCGGACCAATGTCCGTCTATATTTACATCCCTCGACGAGGCAAAATAACCACCATAACCAACGCCACTAGCGTCAGTGTGGATTGTTAAAGGTTCTAAAAACACTTTTGGCCGAACGTTATACCCGTTTAGATAACGTAAATTGTCTAACCAAAATCTCAATTCCTCCATCAAAAGAGGTGGGACGCTATCCAAATGCCCTGCCCTTGAATCTCTCTGAGAAATTATGAAAAAGAGCTGCCGCGAAAAAAGCCTCACTGGTGGACCGACAGGTAAATACAATGAATTGATAAAACCGGCGATTTTTGCCAGTTCTCGATATGAATGTTTTTCTTAACTTTCTCGATTTTTCGAGGCGGAATTGAAAATTGATGGTGTTAATAATCATGCCAAGCCATTCTCCGATTTGCATGGGCTCCCAATGACATTTTTCCTCATTCGTTTTAAGACCGGAACACGATAAATCTTTCTTTTGAATAATACTGGCCGCAGAAGCATCAATACGACATTTATGACCGGAAATACCGTCGTCTAAATAGACAAAAGAGGCGTGGGACATCATACGACGCCATCGTTTCACTAACGGCCTAAGTAATTTTGTAAAACAATAACAAGCTGAACTTAGCCCATAAGGCAAAACACAGAAAATGAAATATCTCAACTTCCCGTTAAAATTCCACGAAAATCCTAGAAATTTATGAACTTATAATTTAAGAAGTAATATATGAACAACGAGAGCGAGTGTTTCACCGGGATATCCAAACACGAGAAAACAATGTATGAAAACACGAGCGCTTCGCGCTCGTGTTTTCATACATTGTTTTCTCGTGTTTGGATATCCCGGTGAGACACGAGCTCGAGTTGTTTATATGGCTTCTCAAATGAATCGAGACGTAACAGAATGTTTTCGTTTGCTGATTTGAATAGAATTCTTAACCAAGCATAACGTGATTAGGAATTCTATTCAAGTAATTTTGCATGCGTAATTAAGATATTTGATGAAAACACTAGTGACTTTCATCAAGTATCCAAATGGCATCTTGTGATCAAATAAGTGATTATCATTGGCTGAATTGCTCATGAATTATTAATGAATTTGAGAAATAAATATCAACATGATGATAGCCGGATTTAAGATCCCATGTGAAAAACCAAAAGTTCTGTTCAAATAATTGAGATAATGATCGAAGATCCTCATATGGAAATGATTGCTTGAGCAAATGCCCGTTAATGTTGCGGAGATCAAGAACTAAACGTAATTTCTTTCCTTTAGCAACAGACAAAGGATTAACGCAATAGGGTGGTTCTGATTGCTCCTCAATGTATCGACCTTTCAGTAATTTAACAATTGCTTCTGAGACAAAGTCAGGATGATCCCTGGCAGATTTATTGTTAGCTAAAAAACTGGTCTCTGTAATGGACCGAAATGGAATCTTATAACCGTCCTGCACTATACTTTGCACAAACTGGGAGGCGTTAAGTGTATCACGCCAGTAATTTGAACACCTGTAAAGCCCCCCACGCACACTATCACTACAAAAACTCCATGCACATCGTCACTATTAGAACTAAAAAGGAATAATCCAACCTGATCTTCCTCCTCACACTGCAGATCATGCAACTTCTACTGTAAACACTGTAAATAATAGAATAACATATATGACCATCAACATTAATATAATAAATAGAAATTCAGTTTGACTGAAGAACGTGTAAGCAGTGAGGAATAATCAAGTCTTGTATACGCCTTTTATACTATTGCATAACAATGTAACATAGTTATGTATTCATAGCAGAACATTATTCTGAATATCAAACCATTAGATATATATAAATTATCTGCTTAATTGCGTAACGCAGATAGTTAAAACATCTAATATAATTATATCGAATAAACACACACACGTACAGCAACATGTTGCTTGAAGCACTTTGTGTTTATTGCTGCTTAAACGCTCGAGGTAAGAACAAAGCAGTCGTATGACGGCTGTCGACCTATAGTGTTGTGACTCTAAAGCAAAACACAATGCTATATACATGGATGTACCACTTAACTTATAACAAGGCCCAATTGCATTCCCGCGTGGACCATTGTGGTCAGGGAACACTGGTCGACGTGAGGGCATAGAATTACGATATGGGATGCGGTTTGGATAGCCAGGAAACGGCCGAGACTTTGATGTTTTGGATGCCTTGGCCTTCTTCGGCTTCTTTTCAGCAGTTTTCTCTGCGCGGTCGATCCGTTTCTCGTCATCTGAGTTATCGGCTAGCTCGTTAGTCATATATTCAGCTACGGTTTGCCAACCATGGTCGCTCGTATCAGCTAATTTGATAAGCTTCATTCTTGCTACTACAGTATGGCTACTTTACCTTCTTGTAGGAAACTGATAGCTTTATGGATGTCTTGATGCTCGAGAGCTGTGGTAGCACTTTCCACTGTGTCCAGCACACCAAGCTGGTGATTATATTGCTGCTCATTGCCCTTTAACTTAAATCGAGGTTTCTCTAAGCGAGCCTTCTTGTTCGCAAAGGCGTCTAGCGTCGCTGAATTATCAGCAGACAATTCTCTCTTCAAGTGAGCAAACCGATCGTCGACAACATTGGTAAGCTGTTGGCACATTTGTGTTAACGACTTCTCCATGAATTCTTTCATATCTTTGCCCGAGAGCTCGGGATGAGACATGTTTGACTGAAGAACGTGTAAGCAGCGAGGAATAATCAAGGCGTGTATACGCCTTTTATACTATTGCATAACAATGTAACATAGTTATGTATTCATATCAGAACATTATTCTGCATATCAAACAATTAGATATAAATTATCTGCTAAACTGCGTAACGCAGATAATTAAAACTACTGCGCGGTTGAGCTTAAATTTCTATTTATTTATTTTATTATTTTATTTAATTCTCATTTAAAAACGGTAACCCTTCAACGCATATAGGTCTTTGATTTCCAAGGGAAGTTTACTATTTACAATATAAAAATGCGTTAGATTTATCTAAACTATACATGCATGCATGCAAGTACTAGTAATCAATGTTATATAACGCACAATACATTCACATTACACGCATCTTCTAAATATAATATTTTACATATGAATGAAAGTCGATATGCAACGTCTTTATTCAGTGCAATCGAGTGCAGCCCTAAACATGCTTAGTAATTATCGTATAATTTAGTTTTTAAAGAGTTTATGCAATTAATTCTATGCATTTGCTCCATTGTAATTAATGCTATACTTTGTATCTCGGTTTTTGTAACAAAACCCATTACCATTACTACGTACTAAATTTACTAAATTATAATTCGGGTTATTTTTTACTTTAAATTAAACAAGTTATTGAGATCTGCTGGTAATTGGTTGTTTTTTGTTTCGTATCCAAGAGATCAGCGAGAGGCTTCCAATTTACTAATTCCCTGAGAGTTTCATTGATTGTGTATCGCACGTCCAGGGGCGTAGCTAAGGGTGTGCCGCACCCCCCCCCCCCCCCCCCC